GACACAAATGATCTTTGAAAAAATATATAATTTTTAATAGAGTCTTGAAGTCTAATGACTTATAAATAGCCCTGAAGGCTTATGATTCAAATCTTCCTAACTATATAGTTTGATTTTAGTCCTTATAGATTTTTTTTGTTGAATTTATAAATTTATGAATAAGTTTTGAAGCATTACATAATATATACAAAAAATAAAGTTTTTGAATAACGAAATATCGAGAAAATATATATATTTTGTTCAAAACAAATATGCTTCATATTTTGAAAAAAAAAGGTATAACAAAAAGTGAAGTATATCATATAGTGAAATAATAATATATTTTAGTTCCTGAAGAACTATATATAGCATTTTTTTTTTTTAAAGAACTATATGTAATCAAAAAATTGATATAGTTCTAGAAGGACTAATAACAAAAGATTGATATAGTTCCAGAAGAACTAATAGCAAAATGTTGATATAGTTCATGAAGAACTAGTAACAAAATCGATATAGTTTTTGAATAACTAATGTAGTTCCCCCCATTATTTTTGTGGGCAGAAAAGAAATTGATAATGAAAAATTATGACCCACAAACATTTATATTAGAATATTTTCTTATCAAAGGGTCTTAAAGTGATAGCTCAATTGAATTTAAATCTATTATTATATATGAATCAGGAAGCATTTGGATTTCCAAGTTAAAGATATGGTATTAGCTTACTATATATTATTCACTGTATTTGAAATACAGAAATAAGAAAAATATATTTATATGACTCACACTTGAGGGGGAGATTGTTGAAATACAAGTGTGAATCATGTTAGATGAAATTTGTTATTATTAATATTAATTTCATTCCTTATATCTCATGTTCCTTTTGAAAAAAGCTCCAGAAGAGCCAGTAGCGCTCAACCTTCCATGAGTGCACAGGTTTCTACCATTTGGGTAAAAGATAAAAACTAATGCTCTAGAAGAGTTATATCATTATTTATTATCCTGAAGATAAAATCTATAATTGATAACATATTCCTTATGGAATATTAAGGAAAATAATAAATAATATAGACATGGTAACAAGAAGTTTACCAATAATTGAGAATAATTTTACAATAAACCAGAAGTTTATGCATTCATAGTTTGGCATGAACGGTCAGATCATCCCGGATCATAATGATGCAAAATATCATAAAAAATGTGCATTGTCATTTATTAAAGAACCAGAAGATTCTTTAAAATGATATGTGATTCAAGAATTTTTATGTGTTGTTTGTTCTCAAAGAGAACATCACTAGCTATGCTCAAAATCGGATCCGTACAGATTTATAATGTATCAAATTTATATATGGGCCCATTTAGACACCATGTGGACCAAAGTAATACTCTATAAGTGAAAGATGCATCTATCTATAAAATGGTCACAGGTGCTTATGATCAACTTGCAACCTGAAGTTTGCAAATATGTTCAAATAATTACATTAAGTACATAAGTTCTTGATTATGAAATCAATATGATTCTTGTTGAGATTGCTAGTGATTGTTCCTCACGTTGCTGATGATTATATGCTTAGTAAAAGCCTCCATAAGTAGCTAGATCAGAGTTTATGAGAACAGAATTCCCACTTGAGTGTTGGGATGATTGATTTTATATATTTTTACACATAAATGCATCAAGCCAACAATGTATTGTGAATTCTCCTATTATATTTGGCTTTTGGTCAGGAGTAAGACATTTTTCATCTCGGAATATGCAATATTTATTATTCCACCGTAATAATGGACATAGGTGGATATTAAAAGTAAGTTGGGATCAATGTTGGATAAGAACCTCCTTATTCTTGTTTGTCTCTAAATGAAACAAAATAATGTTTCTAAAGGAGATTTATGGATTTGGGAGACCTACATTGCATATTTCCAATATGAGGGGGAGAAAATGTATAGCTTGAAAAGAGAACACATAGAATACACTTTCACTATCAAATCTAGATCCTCAAATATAGTAGTATGAACTAGAAGTTCATAAAGTATTGCATTTGTAAAACATTACTAATGTCTGCCAGATGCAATTACTGACCCAAATGAGAATTTTTAATTCTTATATTCCAGCTAAAAATGCTCCTATTCTTGAAGACATGCTAAAAGTATGAGATTATGATCGGTTCCAAAAGAAAAGAAAAAGGAGCAAATGATCATGATGATCATACTAAGGAGGCATGAATTGCAAAAGAGATTAAGACATAACTCTTTGACCCCTGAAGAGGTTTAAGTGTCTAAAAGCAATAAAGAGATCTCGATATATTATGTCATAAAAGAAAACAGGACCGACAAACGAATAAAATTGTCGACAATAATTTGATTGATGATATCACATGATCAAGTGAGAATCTTATATATAAATCTGTTATGAGATACAGATAGAAAAATGATTGGCCAACAGAAAAGAAAAGACACAACATTATAATAGGAGATTTGTGTATCTCTAACCCAAACACCTGAAGTGTAAGGGGTATTTGTACAAGAAAAGAGAAAGAGAATCTTGTGGTGAATTAAAATTTTTATGTATCTTATCAATCTAGCAGTTTGATAAAATCTCATATGCGTCTAGAAAATATAGTGACCCACTATGTAGTGAAGTTATATGTGAATCCCAGAAGGATTCAAATTCTTGCATAAATATAAACGATCCAATACATGAATATATATGGATCATAATGTATGAAAATTCTTGAAGGATTTAAGTTTCTAGAAGCATACAATTATGTTTTCAAGAACATCATTGAAGTAAGTCTCTATATGAGACATATGTGGTTAATATCAACTAAAGGAATGTTGTAAACTTATTCCAACTTGTCTGTTTATGAAAAGATTCAAAATGAGTCTGTTATCAATACTATTTATAATGATAGTATCAGAACTTCTGATGAGTTTTCAAAAACTGCAAATTACTTAAAGAAAAAGTTTGAAATAAAAGCTTTGAGAAGAATACATATGAATAAATCACATCCATTATGTGGATAAGTAACATCCATTACGTGTTTCGGTAGTTGCAAGATCTTTAGATATGGATTAAAGATCGATTTAGACCTCTAGAAGGTAATGAACAAATACTTGGTCCAGAAGTACCATGCTTTAGTGTCACTAGAGCACATATGTATCTATCTAGCCACACATAACTCAATATATCATTTGCTAGTTAGCATGATATAGTTTGTCACTAATATAAAGACGATGGAGCGAAATTAAGAATATTTTTCATTTAAAGGATACCGTGGATATCTGAAAGTACCCACAACTAATTTTACTGGCTATGTAGATAAAGTATTTCTGTTTGATTCTCATGTTAAGAGATCACAGCATGATCCACATGTGGGTAAAATATAAAAGGACTATTTGTCTCATAATTTTTAGAAGATTATGAAATTCATATTTGACGTTTTTATCTAATTACAATATTTGGAAGGGTTGTTCGTTATATTAGACTTTGCAGGCTCCAAGATGTCAATTGATGTTGTCAAGAGGGGGAGTTGATACATGCTGTGCTCTTTTTTCCTTGTCTATGGTTTTGTCCCACTGGGTTTTCCTAGCAAGGTTTTTAATGAGGTAGCATTGCATAGTGTATTAATGAATGATGTACTCTTTTTCTTTCGCTAGGTTTTTATCCCATAGGGTTTTTCCTAGTTGAAGTTTTTTAACGAGGCACATTCATATATATTGGACATCCAAGGGGGAGTGTTATGAATATAATAATATCTTTGTGGATGTCCATATATCTCCCTTTATCTTCTATATCTCCTTCAATCTCTAATATCTCCCATTATCTCTATATCCCACAATTATCTCATATTATCATGTAATCTATAGATTCTATCAAAGATATAAAGCTGTGCCTATAAATAGAGGCCATGTATAATGTATTGTGTACTCTTGAATGGAATGAGAAAAAGCTCTCTATTATCAATCCTCTCTTCCTTTGTATGATTCTTCTCTATTTCTTCTTTATTCATAACAATAATTTAGTTGTAATGGAACTGATTTATGTCTTCCCTAACCATATTTTTTTAAATTAAGTTGCATGAATGAAAATTATGACAATTAGAGTTACTATCAAATAAACGGTGGAGCTCACAACTTGAGTTGATACGTTTGAAATTTCTTAAAACAAAAGATAATACTTTTCAATACAAACTACTATCTCCGGTCCTAATTATAAAACCCAATTGACTTATTTGAGGAGATTAAGGAAGTAAGTTAAGTTAGTTATTTGTAATAAATAAGTGTTGTCATTTTTAAAATATCCTTACTAATTAAATATATTGGCTAGAACTATTATTATTAGAAGGACTATCTTAGAAAAAAATACATAAATATGAGAAAAATTAAATTGGGGTCTTATAATCAGGACCAAACAAAAAGTCAAATGGGGTTTTATATTAAGGATCGGAGGTAGTATCATATAAAGTTAAATATATAAATATTAAAATTACATATCAGTTATATACTATATAACTGGATAACTTATTTGTTTTTCAATTTTTATCTCTGATAAAAAAATATTTTAAATTTATCTGATTTTATTAATATTGAATTTTTATTCATAAAATTTACATAAATTTTATGATCCCTTTAATGACATGACATTTTTCTCTTAAAAATCGTTTTAATTTTTAAACAAAATTTAGCCAACTCTTGAAAAAATTACAATTATTTGCGGTCGTTAAATTGATGTATTGGATTTTAAAGTTTCATTTAAAATGCTTTATAAATATTAGCATGACTTTATCCTTCTAAAAGATGAAACAAGTGTGGAGAGGTCATGTGCAGAACCTTCAAAATAGATTCGTCTACAATTTAAAAATATATTTTCCTTTTCTTTTTATTTGAGAAACCTTTTTTGGGATGATTTTTTTTCCATAGAAAAGAATATAGAATTGTGATTGTATTTTTTTTAAATAATAACAATTATATTGCAAGATTGAAATAAAGAATAAGATAAGAAATCATTGATTAATACAATATTTGAAACAAAATAAGTAGCACACACAAGCGCCACGCAATTATTGTATTTTGTGTACAATATTGAATATAATTACATAACTTCAAAGTAGAGTTATATCTAAATTTTCGTGCATTTTCAACATAATACAAATCCAACACATTTTTACAAACATACAACACAGTAAAACACAAATGCAAATAAAGAGACAAATTAGAAGATCCAAAGCTCACATCACCCCTTCATTATCTAACTTTCTAATTTGATCTCCACAGCTGACCAAAAGAAAAAACTTATTAGCAGCCTAATCAAAATGGAACATAGAGAAAATAAAAACCACACAATTATCGAAATTTCCTTGGACAATGTGTATTAAACTACAGATAATTATGTTTACAATGATGAGAAATAATGTGTTACAAATGTGAAAATGTTGAAAATTATTTACTTTCCAGTTCTATAAAATTATTCAACTTCTAATATTATCATAACATGTCACTTATTTAATATATTATTATGATTTTGATATGACAACCATTATATAAACACGGAAAAAAAAAATCTTAGGAGTGATTGCAATTTCTTATTAAAAAAAAAATTGAGGGTGTGTGTGTGGGCGTTAAGATAGAATTTTTTTCTCGTGATAAAAGACTTTTTTTCAATATAACGATAGAAATTGTAATGCACAAAATTATTTTATTGATTAAATATGATAATAGTTTGAAAGAAAGAGTGTAGCCACGAACCTGATGACGAGGGCTTGTCTTCTAATGGGATTTTTGAGATTTTTGATATGTTTGGACAATCTTCTATTGTTATAGTACCAAAAAGGTGGTTGAATTCATAACCTTCATAAATCTCTCTCAACTCTGGCAAATTACTGAGCTTCAAATAATTCAGTTCAGGAAACAGCCTTTGATGATGATGAGCAGCTACTTCACCTTCGTAAGCTTCAACAACTCCCTCCAGTTGACAGCAATCCCATATATGTAATTTCTTCAATGAAGGACAATGAGATGCTAGAGAATATGAGAACACCCTTCTCACTTTGTGGCAATCAATTATTTCAATGATTTCAAGTTTGGGGAAGCAAACAGTGGAAGTAGTAGACAGATTCTTAAGTGACTCTTCACAAAATATTCCCTCCCATTCATCGCATCGTCTTACATCAAGTTTCCTCAACTCTGGAAGGCTTGTAACAATAGCAAGAGTGAATATATTTCTTAATCTTGGGCATTCCCACAGTGTAATATCTTCAAGTCTATGGAAGCTCAAAATTTGTGTGGGACCTTTCCAAATATGTTCTAATTCCGGTAGATTAGCTAAGAATATCGACCACAATTCTAACTTTACCACTCTCGCTGTGTCATTCTCATGTTGCTGTGAAGTAAATATATTCAATGATTAGATGAAAATTCAACATATGGACTATACACACATACGTGAACCGCATAAAGTTAATGGCACTGTAACATTAGAAATTAAACTCCATTCATTTCACATATTTATAAAACTACAATAAGATAAGCTCAGTAAGATGAATTTTATTAAGTTACACTTTTCTTATACATATTATTGACGGTCCAATGTGAAATATATATAGACACACACACACGTACACAATGTATGATGTATAAATATGCATCGACGTTGATTTATTTCAAATCAAACAGTCTTGGACAAGTCATACTTTCCATGATAAAGAACCGCTCACAAAAACAAAAAATGATTCCACAACCAAGCATTAATGGGAACATTGCTAATACTTCAAGTAATTTCCAGCTTGATTTCATGACGAGAAGACTACTTCATAGAAGCAAAATATTAAATAAAATTTGAAATGATTATTGCTTTTCATTAGAATATAGTCTTGCTACTCGTATATATCGTTTCATAGTAAACACAAATTTTCAAATAAATTTAAAAAGTAAACAAGAGGAAAGGAAAATAGGTCCTGCAAAAAGAATTTTCTCACGTCCAAAGAAAATGAGAAAATATTTCCACTGATTCATTCTTAACAAAAACAACCATGAACAAGTACTTTCTCTAATAACAAAGAAGTTATTTCTCCGACGAAGCTATAAAACGAAAAATATAAAGTGTTATGTTTGATAAATAATTTAAAAGACATTTATCAATTTTATCCATAAAAAATCACAAATAAAAAAAGAAAGTGAGAGAAAACACTCACATGAGGGAAGATCTCTCTCAATTTCGGCAGTGCCACCAACCGTAAGTACTTAAGTTTGAGATATGCTTCTTCAGCAAGCGTCTCAAGTTCAGAACAATTTCGGATCAAAGGTTGCTGAGAGATTAAAGCATGCTAGTTAGTTTCGTACAAAAGCTGAAAGGAAAACATACAAATTTTAATAGCAATAAAAGATGTTCACTGACAAAGACCTTTTTAGCGTCCACAGAAAATTTAACAAATATTGTGTATACATACATAATTTGTAGATATTATATCAGCTCCAACTTATTCTAAATGAAATACAATTCCATATAATTATTTGCTTGACGAAATAAAAAATAAAAATCAGAAAGTGTTGTTTGGAAAAACAAAATTAATTATTTGACAAAAAAATTAAAATGAACTAAAGAGATGAAAATTTTTATCAAATTCATATGTGGAAAGATAAATTAAAAAATGCAGCTCGCAAATAATATTTTGTAGTACTGAAAAAAGAAAAAGAAAAATTTGAGCAGTTTAATCTTTAGTATTACAATGTAAATGCTAAATAGAAATTCTATGAAAAAAGAGGTAGGTGAGCGAAAGAAAAATTTTATCAAAATGTTTGAAATCTCCAGTGAGAACTTCTATAGACACTAATTTATATTATGCTGGCCATTATAAGTATTTTCCGAATTGATCATTTAATGGCAAAATAAAAAGAATGTACTTTTAAAATTGTGTTAACATGATCTCAACACGCGTTTTACCAAACTCAATCAATTTTCATAATAACATGGAAAATGTGTGACTAGCAAATGTTGTATATACTTTTTACTACATGATTATGTTAATTCTCTATTATAACAACTATATCACATTTAATAAATAATATATATATCTTTTTTTAACAAGAAGTACACATATTAAATATTTCTTGACCGACAAGAATTATTTGAACAAAAATACTAATGTTAACTTAATTTTTAGCAGAAAAAGAAAGAGCCACAAAAAAGTATTTTCTCACATCAAAAAGAAAAGAAAAGCATGGCGAAAAAATTTGAAAGGGAAAAATATTTCTCTTAAAGTATGTGTAGTTTTTATATAATGCATCAACACTAATTTATTTTTGAATAAAAATAACTTTGAATAAGCACTTCCCACAATAAATGCCTAATAGCAAAAGCAATATGAAAAAGTCATTTACTTGACCAAAATGCAGAATACGAAATGTAAAATGTTACTGCATCTGACAAATAAAAGTTGTTATTTAAAAAAAAAGAAAAAGAAAATAATTTATTATTATGAAAATAAGGAAAGCTTAGAAAATAGTTTTATCGTGCAGCCTGAATATATAGCCAAGAAAATTTAATAATAAAAAGAGGTTTATACAGGTATCATAAAGTGAAGTCAAAAATAAAAGAATCACTGTAGAAGTTATGTTTAATGATTATACAAATATATATATTATACGATAGCAAACAAAAAATTTTCAAATAAAAGGGAGATGTAAATTGAACATGGCTACTTTAGCAAATGCGTCAACATATATATATGGATTATTATTATTTCTAATATGCAATGATTCAAGAGAGACATTGCGGATTTGCTGGTCAAAAAAAAAAAAAACAGAGAGACATTGCGGATGAGACTTACCTGTGGATGATCTTGCATATCATGAAGTAGTGGATCCCCATGTGCAGCTTCTTCACCAATAAGCCCCTCAAATTCAGAGCAACTGTGTATGCGTACATACCCTATTGAAGGACAATGAGATGCCAGAGAATAAGATAACAACCATCTCACCTTGTGGCAACCCCATATGTCAATCTGCTTAAGTTTGGGGAAGCAAATATTAGAAGAAGAGAGGTTTTTGAGTGATTCTTCACAAAATATTCCCTCCCATTCCTTGCAATAATATACTTCAAGTGTTCTCAACTCTGGAAGGCTTGCAACAATAGCTAGAGTGAAGATACTTTTTAATTTTGGGCAGTCCCGCAAGGAAACATCTTCAAGTCTATGGAGGCTCACAATTTGGGTGGGGCCCTTCCAAATATATTCCAATTCTGGTAGACCATCTAATTTTAATTCACTCAACTCTGAATCCAACTTTAGAGGTTCTTGGGCTTTAATAGATTCTTCATCGTCTTCTACTCTTCCTCCGACTTGGATTTCCAATATGCCTTTCTTTTTTCCACTTCTTTCAATTTTTAGACTTTTCAACCTGAGAAAAAGGATCAAGGATTGCTGATTTTGCAACTGATTGAATCTTTTTGCTGTAACGCCCACATAAGCACTGTCAGTTTCCTTTCCCTGTAAATGTATTAAAATTAAAATTATGAAATGGACTGATTATAACAACTTGCGTTTTACTCTAACTAGATTGGGGATTAAACCCAGCAAGTTTCTTATATAATATATTAATTATTGCCAACTATTGTTAGTAAATAATCCTTTCTAACAAGTAGGCAAATTTATATAGTAACAATCAGGACTTTTTTTATTACCAACACTTGAAATGAAAATATAAAATTTTTAACAGCAACAAAAGAGGAACGGTAAGAGAGATCTTTTTAAACATCAAAAGAAAATTTAAGAAAAACGTTTATCTTAAAATGTGGTGTCCTAAATAATTATTTATTGACAAAATATAAAACCTAAATATAAAACCTTTTAGACGTCAAAAGAAAATTTAAGAAAAATATTTCTATTTCTTTTCTTCTTTTGCCAGCAAAGCAAAACACTTCTCTTAAAATATACCCATTCAGTCCTAAATATAAAACCTATTTTATAATGTAATTTATACTACAAAATAGATCTTATACTTAAGACCAGAAAAGTAGTATGTAATTCATAGATATTGTATCAACTTCAACATATTTTAAATAAACCAATCCTAAATAATTAATTCATTGACGAAAATACAAAACAAAAAAAATATAAAGTATTGTTCGGGAAAATGAGATTAATTATTTGACCCAAAAAATAAAATGAACAAAAGAGATTTAAGTTTTTATCAAATTATGCGTGGAAAGAAATAGCAAATGCAGTTTGTAAATAATATCTTGTAATACTAAAAAAAAAAATTAGTAATCAAATCTACAAAATTACTCTTTTGGTCCCATAGTTTTAACTCAATATAAAACTTGGACCCTAGACTTTTATTCATTATTCCTACTCAGTCTTTAATCATCCCTTTAATCTTTAGTATGTATCATAAATGCTAAATGCAAAGGTTTTCTTTTTTTGGACCATGAAATGCAAAGATTTAGAACTTCACGATAAGCACATTGTTATATAATTAAAAATCCTTAAATAAAAAATGAAATGACACTATTTTATAATATATTAGCCTGTCCAATTCCTTTCCACAAATAATATATAGATGGTGATAGAAATTGTAATTTACAGAAATTATTTTTTTTAATAACAAACAACACCTTGATCATGATTCTGAAATTAAAATAAATTGCTTTCACGCATTTTTTAAATCGTGATGCCATATATAATCTCAAAACATGTGTTTTTAAATTGGAATATACTTGTTGCTACATGATTATATTCAACCTCTATATGACATTTAATTAATGACATGTATAAATAGACATATTATATATTTTCTCACATCCATGGAAAAGCATGGCAGAAAAATCCAAACGATTAAAAAAAGATATCATTTATGTTAAAGTATGTGTAATTCATGGATAATACAACAACTCAAATTTATTATAAATACGTGATGCCAAAAACAATATATAATACATTTCCTTGACGAAAGTACAAAATAAAAAATATATATAAAGTGTTGCTTTTGGCAAAGTAAAAGTAGTAAGTTGAAAATAAGAATTAATAAGAAAAATACAAAGCTTGAAAAGCAATAGTATTTTATCTTGAAAATAACGAAAACCCAAAAAATAGTTTTATCGTATAGCCTCAATGTAGAGCTCAGAAAATTTCATAATAAGAAGAGAAGGCTTATATAGTTACAATGAACTCAAGTCAAGAATAAAATGACTATCATCTCTTACTAAGAATATTCTTTTTTAATAATTATATAAATACATATTATAAAAAAGGGCCACAATAAAAAGGTATTTTGTTCACATCCAAAGAAAAGATTGGTGAAAAGAATTCAAAGGAAAAACTATTTCTCTAAAAGTATGTATAATTTTTAGATATTGCATCAACACTAATATATTTGTAAATAAAATAATTAAACTTTGAACAAGCGCTTCCCACAATAAATACCTAACGGCAAAAACAATATGAAAAGGTCATTCCAAATAAAAAAAGAAAAAGAAAAAGTCATTTCGTAGACCAAAATACAAAATAAGAAATATAAAATGTTGCAACTGAGAAATAGAAGTCATTATTTGACAAAATAAATTAATAAGCAAACGCAAAGCCTTAAAAAGCAGTAATATTTTATTATCATGAAAATAAGGAAAATTCAATATTTTCATCGTGGAGCATAGATAAAGAGCTAAGAAAATTTAATAATAATAAGATATTAATATAGTTAAAACTACTCCTTCGGTTCTAATGGGCCTTATATTTAGAACTTTGATGAATATTTTTTCTTTTACAACAAACAACGCCTTCAACTTCATTCTAAAATTGAACTAAATTGACTTCACGTATTTTTAATTTACAAAAACTATATTTTACAACTTGTGATTGGATTCATTCATCATGATTACGTCAATACTTATACCTAGAAACGTGTAAGTAACAAATACAAAGAAATAAGGTACAAATTTGTCCTTGAAGTATATGGTTAGGAGGTATGGGTATTGAAAGTTTTTTAAGTCTCAATATCACCCTCAAAATTACAAAAACGTAGCAATGTTGGCCTAACCATTATTCCAGTTAATTTTGACAGTTAGTTTGACCAGATTGCTTATGTGGCATGCCATGTCATCAGTCTTTCCTCTCTTCCACTTCACCCTCCATCTCATCATCCTGTTTTTTTTTTTTTTTGAGTGAAAACATCTCATCATCTTCATCATCTATATTGGCACCATTATCATCTCCCTCTCCCCCCCCCCCCACACAACATGCTCGTCAGATCTATTTGAGACCCTGAGTACTCTCCTCCTTTGCTACTCGAAACAACTCCCACCGCCTCAAGTATCACAACCCCAATTCCAAACCTCCCCTTATCAAAACGCAAGCTTATCCCATGATGTGGAAGAGAGGAAGAGAGGGACGATGAGTTGTCATACCATATGGCACCCCACATAAGCAATCTGGTCAAATTAACTGTCAAAATTAATTGGGATAACATTCAGGGTAATATTCTTATGTTTTTGTTTGGGGTGAGATTGAGATTTCAGAAGCTTCTGGACACCAATGGCTTCTAGCCATATACCGATCAAATTTGCACTTTATCCCTATCACACACACACACACACACACACACACACACACACACACACACACACATGTTCGCTACTTGATTATATTCAACATGTTTTATGATAACTATATGACATTTAATGAACGATAGATAAGTAGACATATTGTATATTTCATGATCAACACAACTTATTTGGCCAAAAACTGAAATGTAAACCTACAATTTTTTCAAGACAAAAAGAGGCACAGTTAAAAAGTTTTTTCCCCCCCAACATCCATTGAAAAGCATGGCAGAAAAATACAAAGGAAAAAACATTTCAGTTACCTGATGACGAAAACAATATCAAAAAGTCATTTCCTTGACCAAGATACAAAATATAAAAAAAAATAAAGTGTCGGATTTGGCAAGGTAAAAGTAATAATTTTTTTAAAAAAATTAATTAGAAAAATACAAAGCTTGAAAAGCAATAATATTTTATTATCTTAAAGATAAAGAAAACTCAAAAAAGTAGTTTTTATCTATAGCAGCTCAAAAAATTTCATAATAAGAATTTTACACAGTTACAGTGAACTCGAGTCAAAAATAAAATGACTATACCTCTTATTAAGAACGCAGTTTTAACAATTATATAAATACATTATACGATTGTAAACAAGGCTATTTTTAAATTACAAAAAAAAAAAGAGGCCAAGTAAACAAAAAGAAAGATAATATTACTATTGTTTGTTATTGAGAATTTTTTTATACTTGTTTATATTATTCGGTAATAAGCACAATTTTTCAAATTAAAAGAAAATGTAAAAATGGCCACCTTCAATTTTTTTTTAAATAAATAGTATGGTAGAGTGAACTAAAAGTAAAAAGAATTGTCACAAAAAAAAAAAGTAAAAAGAATCACCTAAAAATGTGTGCAATTATTAGCAGTTGAATGAATTCTGGTTTTTTTCCCCAGCCTGTATGTACTTTTCACAATATATGGATGGAGTTAGAAATTGTATAGCACGTTTCCTTGACAAAGAAGCAAACATAACTAGGGAGATAAAACAGAGGAATTGATTGAACGTAAGTTGAGAAAAGGATATCAAATTCATCTATCAAAAGAAAACCAACAAATGCAGTTTAAAAATTAAATGAAAAGATAAACTTTTTTCAGCAAATGCACGAACACGGATTATTATTTCTAATATGCAATGATTCAAGAAGGATTTCGCGAATAATACTTACATGTGGATGAGAGTATTGCATGTCATGAAGTAATGGATCCCCAAGTGCAGCTTCTTCATCAATGAGCCTCTCAAGCTCAAAGCAATTGGCTATAATTATCTCCTCCAAGGACGGACAATGAGAAGCCAAAGAATAAGAGAATAACCATTTCACTTTGCCGCAACCCTCAATCACAAGTCTCCTCAGCTTTGGCAAGCTCGTAACCATGGCATGGGGGAAGATGCAAGTTCTCAATTCAGGACAACTTTGTATCGACAGCTCTTGTAACATGGGGAGAGAGTAGCTGATAGATGAAGCTTCAAACAACTGTTCAAGACTATTCATTTTAAACAATCGTAAAGTTATCAAGTCTGAGAAGATTTGTTGTGGTTGAAGAGTGTCCATATCAGAGTTCTCCATGATGAATCTTTTCTCCTGACAGAATGATACCACGAGTTGCTTTATCCTAAAATTTATATCTTTATGATTCCATGAACAATTATCTAACCAAAGGTGGTTTGCCCGAAAAATGAGATCCTTCATTGACGAAGTCAAAGCAAAGATTCTGAAGCCTTGTATGCATAAAGCTCTTAATGCTTCATCACAACTATCTAAATATTCTTGGAAAGAGTTACCCATATATTCATCAATCATTCTGCACGTGGAATCATAGATGACATACCTCTTCAACCTTGAAAGAGAGAAATTCTCAGGGATGACAGATATCTTCTCCCGGAAGTATAATTCTTCAAGCTGCTCACATCTTCTAATTACTTCTAAAGGGCTTTTCTCAATTTCACAACCAAATATATCCAAAAGTTTCAGCATTTTCATGTCTGCAATTTCAGCAGGTAATTCATTAAATAGAGAACCATGCAAATCAAGAATCTCCAATCCTTTGAGTTCACACAAGAAAGAGATGTCACCCAATTGTTTCCCTCTAAGACACAAGGTTTGAAGATTCGTTAACAATACAATTGATTGTGGGACAGAGCAAAAAGTTTGCTGCTGAAATCTCCATTGAAAGCCATGTGTTATGAGTGCCAACACTTTAAGTGTTTCTATTGCTCCAATATCTTCAATGAACCCATCAGGCTGAAGTAGCAAAATCTCCAGTGATGGACAATGCAATTTATTAAAGATCTTGAAATTCTTATCCAAATTCCACAATGAGAGTGCCTTCGCATCATTCAATTTGTGGCCGTTGCTTACCAGCATGCTCGAAATTGAATGGCTATCTACCAAAACTTCTTGATGTTGCTTCTTCGTGATCCATAAGGCTACATCTCGAACAACATCATGCAATTTTACACGTTCCTGCTTATTGGTATTCATTAACAAACAAGAATCTAACAATTTCTCAATAGCTGCAAAAATCTCATTCCTTGCTTCCCCTATTGTATGAATATCGTCACCAAGCTTTAGAGTCCCGTTGCCAAAACGAATTAAATCCTCTATATGGATTTCATGATCCTCAGGAAACATAGAACACAATATGAAGAGCGACTTGGCTAGTGCACTCGGCAAATTATCATAACTTAATTCAACACATGCATAAGGGGTCTTCAAATCATCTTCAATATCCAATGGTAGGGGACGTTGTAGCCTCCTTAGTGTTGACTTCCACGCTTGAATACTCTTTCCTTTTAATGTGCTTCCGACTGTCACTATTGCAATAGGCAAACCTTTACACTCATCAACAATTTGCCTTCCAATGCTATCAAACTCATTCATTGACACATTGGCTGTTTTAACGCACATCTTGAACAATGCCCATGACTCTTCCTCTGTTAAGAGAGGCAATTTAATAATACTTTCACAATCCATAGAAACACATACATCATGGAGGCGAGTGGTCAACAATACACAACAACCTTCATTTAATGGAATTCCAACATCTTCAAGCCTTAGTTTGCTCCACACATCATCCAGGATTATAAGAATCTTCTTATTTTTCAATCCTTCTGATAGCCTTTGTGCTTTAGTAAGTTGAGTTGGCTCTTGAAGTTGTAAGCCTATTTGCCCTGCTATTTCCTGCTGAATGTTCAAAACATTTGGGGGTTTTGAAACGACTGCCATGATGACCTTGTCAAAATGCTTTAGCTCATCTACTTTCTTGCCTACTTCCTTCGCCAAAGTCGTCTTGCCTGATCCTGCCATACCATATAATCCCACCATCTTGTTCGTGCCATCTTTAATTGCCTCCAAAAGATGATTACAAGTTGATTTCCTTGAGTTGAAATCCACAAACTCTTTGGAAGAGAAGTAGGTAATTCCAGGAAGTTGGATCACCTGGGAAAATGGCTGAAAGTCAGAATTTTGTTTGAGGTCCATCATCTGTTTAGCCTTATTTTTTATTTGTTTGGATAATGAGTATCTAACAGACACATTGAAACAATTGTTTCGTCCTCGATCAAGCTCTTGTTGCAGCTTTTGTACCTCTCCTAGGATAGCATTCACATCATCCAACCACTTCTTCACGGATGGCATTATTTCTTCAGTTTTTCGTTCTGCTTCTTCCGTACGCTTTCTCACATCTTCTAGTTTCACCTCTAGCTCTTGTTTTGCTTTCTTGAAGTCTTCATTAAGCTGCTTAAAGCAGAAAAAATACGCAGCTCCATGTGAAATCGGAGCCACTAAGTATTCTGCAACCTTTGACACGATTGAGATCACAATCTCTGCCATTTACTGCAATCATAATTCATGTAGTAAGCAATCATCCCTAACACAAGTCAATGGACTAAGCATGTAACGTACAACCAAGCTCAATTTTGATCTGTTCTTTATGGCATGACTAATTAGTAATATATTCATATAACCAAACTTAAAATATATATATATATATGTATAAAATGCTTGGACACCACACTTATTAAATCATAATATAAAGCTCGACTATTTCAATAACAACGTCATTTCTTCTGATCTTTTGTAAATGTAAGCACTGGAATACAATGCACTACATTTCGTTTTAATAGGAAAACTAAAGCTTAAATAATCATATCAATAAATTTTATTTATTTAAATTAACAAGTTGTAAAATTTTTAAATAGAACAATATTAAAAAGAGTCTAATGAGAAGCCGAGGATCGACTTGAGTTTATAATGAAATTATTTATTATTTTAGAATATGAATTTCGAGTTCAAATGATAGTCAAATATAATACATGAGACAATATCCAAGAACATTAGTCTTATGAGATATGTCATCTCCCCTCTTATGAAAACTGACAAATCTTTTACGAGGAAGCAAGTTATATATAGCATTATTTATGACCCGCAAAAGACATCTGAAGTGACAAAGACACATATAATAGACACATGCATCTAAAGCATAGCATAAAGTATCTGGAACCATGCCTTTGGATACACCCAAAAGAAAAAAAGTTAAAAAGGTAAAAAAAGTATACTTGAGTTCTTTAGCAATGTACGAATTTCGTTTTCTGATTAAGTTACCCGTTACTATAATCATGGCAAGTAAAAAAAAAAAAATAAAAAAAGTAAAGGAGTTCTTCTAGATGAGTTAGTGACTCTTAAATCAAATTAAGAGATGCCTAAATACACAAAAATAGCAAATAACAGTTCGCCGAAATTAGTACAAACATATTATATATATAAATTTTCAACGAGTTTAAAATATGGAAATTCATTATTGTATAATTATTGAAGAACCAAAAGAAGGGGAAAAAAGCTCATATGCACTCACAAAATGGTATTTATCGAAACAGTTTTCAGGTTGATGATAGTATTCCTGATTCCTGTTTTCTTTCTGATGAAAATATTCAACATTTCGATAAGTACTATAATCCATCAACTGCGTATTATCTTATTACTATGAACTTCATTTCAGAATTCAAATAACAATATATCAAACAATTACTTGCAAAGGACGGTCCAAATTAAATATTATTGTACTTTTATATTAATCTAATTCACAAACTCTGTTTTGTTATATATTTCCAAATCTTATTTAGGAATTTGGTTATAGTTATTAAGCTTAAAATATTGTCCCGTATTAACAATGATACTAATGTGTTTGGAAGGGAGGAAACTTGGATATTTAACCCTGTCTTGTATACTTAAACTACTTGCTTCCAATAAATTAGAATAATTGAATTTGAAATTTTTTTAAATGTAAAAGTATTAATAACAAAATGGGTGAATCATAGATTAAAAAAAACACAAATATCCATTTTTGATTGAAAATAAGTATTGCAAGTATACAAAGTTAATACCAAAATCTTTTCTTGTGGAATTCAGACGGAGGGGGAAAAAACTCATATTTTTATTTTTTAGTCAATCTTCCCAAAAACTTCACAATACGTCATATAAAATTTAGTCCATAATCATCACAAAATTCAAATTATTCATTTTTCATCATAATAAAAAGAATACTCACAAATGTTTTAATCATAGACTCCAAAGACAAATAAAAAAAATAGATCACGTCAACATTTAATAACGCCATATTTTAAATTTATTTGTCCTCATATTTCCAAATTAAACATTTTTTTTGTAATGAATGATATTTATGTAACAGACAGAATTCTCACTCTTATCATGTGAGAGAGAAAATGCAATACTGCTCTTATTATGAATATAAAATCACTAAAATATTCTGACTATCTTTTTATTCTGTCTTAATTACACGGATCTCTCTATTTTGATAACATATATTTTAATCCAAACCATTAATACTATTAAAGAATATTCTAAAAAGATTCTTTGAGTATACGTTTTAATTAAAAATCATATTAGAAAAAACCTGTCCCCACTGTACCCTTGTTCTATTAAATCTCTAGTTTATCTTTTGATATTGATGTTTATTAATGATCTATTTAATATTTTTACTAAATTTACTAAATTAAGATATAACTTTATAGTTTAATTAAAAATACATATATACAATTGCAAAGCATTTTCAGCTAATATATATTTAAGAAAGTGCATCATAAGCCAGTTTTATCTGATAGACGAGATTAAACATTTAAATTTATTGTAATCTAAAAATTTGTATTTAAAATTAATTAATTTATAATATGGTAATTGATTTAATAGTATAACGCAAAATATTAAAGTATGTATTAAAATTATTTTTTAATTTCAAATAGAGATATATCATATGTGATTAAATGATAATTATTAAGTAATATTTGCATTAAGGAGAGGTATTTTGATTAAAATAACAGTTTAACCCTAACAGTCAACTAATGGTTAGGTAGATAGAAGTTGAATCTCAAAACCAGAAAAGAGATTTGTGCAACATATATTTTGATTTTAATAAAGGTCCATATAGGTTTCCAAAAAAAAAAAGAGAAGTCTCTGTAATTTAGATTAAATAGATGGGAGGTTGATTATTATACGCATAATTATAGAAACCATTTAAATGGAAATAATCCTCGTATACCACTTTCAAGAAAGAAACAAATTGCGATTTAATAAGACCTATGATAAATTTTGAAGAGTTCGATTTCTACATATATTCATTATTGTAAATTTATACTGAGATTCAAAAGAAAGAACGAAATCTGTAATCTTTTGTGACGAAGCAAGTTATAAAGCATAACTTAATAACATATATGAAGCAATTGAGTCTTTGGATTAAAAAAAATTGAAGCTAACAACATAAAAATAAATTATTCTTTACTCTTTTACAAAGTTATCAATTCATTTGGTGATTGAGATGTTATTACCTTATTATATTCATGGCAAATAATTAAAAAATAATATTAAAAAAAAAGCAAATAAATATAAATTGGAGTTCCACTATATGGATTATTGTGATTCTGGTTCCTTACCTCAAATATCCTAATGAGGTTTGGATGAATACTTTAAAACCGAAAATAAAATTATTCAATATTTTGATGAGTTAAATTAAAATAATTTATTTAAATGAAAAGCACGTTTAGTAACATAAATTCAGTATAATATTAAAAGCATCTAACAAATTCAGTGTTTAATACCGTACTATCTTTTTGGCCTGATAATAATAATAATATTCTTTTTTTTTTTGGCTAAAACTTCTTTCATATTCTGAAAGTTTAGATAATTAGATTCCATTAGTATAAATTATTCCCAGGTTCAAACTCTGACGCGCAAATGCAAGAATAAAGAAACAAACAACAATTCGATATACTAGTATATCTAGATGATACTCCTCCGGTCCTTAATATAAGACCCATTTAACTAATTTGATTAGATTAAGGAAGTTAGGTAAGTTAGTTAATTATAAGAAATGTGACACATTTTT